CACGGAGAGAAATCCCTAACATGATTCTCTCCATTGCTCTTTCTGCAACTTGTAGTTTACTCATTGTTGTTCTTGTGAGCGTTAGGGTTTCTGCGCCGTAGGTCATCACTGGCAAAATACATTGATTAAATACTTTTCTTTTCAGACACATTGGAATCTTAGACCTAAAAATATCCTTCATCCTTCCAAATGCAGCCCAAGCGAGGTTTATTCTTCTTTTCAGCTCAGTGTAGATATGCCAGAACCATTTTAAACAAAACTTAATCGTAACCTCAAAAAACAGTTCGTGTTTGTGACAACGTAGTTGCGCCTAATATGAGACCCACGGTTTGCCTAATATGAGATAGTATCTCATATTAGGCAAACTATTTCTACCGGTCAATGCTTAATGTTGGTGGTCAATACTTATTTTTGTCAATTTTTAGATGCATCCTGAAAAGAAGCGGAAAATGTGGGACACTGACATGATAAAGAGAGCTGTTGAGGCTGTCAGGGCAAAAGAAATGGGATACAAAAAGGCCGCAAAATACTTTAATGTACCAAAAGGAACACTGAAACGTTATGCTAAAAATGTTGATAAAACCGCTCAATCATTGGTCGAAGTTCCTTTTTAGAAGGTTAGATAGGTCGAAGATTTTATGGCTTGCGAAAAAAGGATATAAAGAAAATGGCTTTTCAGCTTGCAATGAAAAATGGTTTGAAGCATCCATTTTCATTAGAGAAAAATAGTGCTGGGGATAAATAGTTGACAGGGTTTTTAAAACGTCATCCGCAGCTTTCTCTTAAAAAACCTCAAGGGACATCTTTTGCGAGAATTAAAGGGTTTAACGCTGAAAGTGTAAAACATTTTTTTGACATTTATGAACCTCAACTAGACATAATCAGGAGCCAGCCACATAGACTGTACTATGTTGACGAAACTGGAATAACAATTATTGTTCAGCATAAAGCAGCTAAGGTAATCTCACTAAAGGGTAAAAAAAATGTTGGGCACTGACTTCTGCAGAAAGAGGACATCTTATTACTGTTGTGACATGCATGAATGCAGCAGGATCATATGTGCCTCCATTCATTGTTTGGCCTCGTAAAAACATGCAAGACGCTTTGATGGACGGTACACCTCCAGGATCGATCGCTGCATGCCATCCATCTGGGTGGATCCAGACTGATCTATTTACAATGTGGTTTAACCACTTCATAAAACATGTGAAGTCTTCAATGGATGATCCTGTGCTGTTAGTGCTAGACATGCATAATTTGCACACAATAAATATTGATGTTATAAACAAGGCTAGGACTAACCATGTTGCGATTGTGTGCCTCCCACCGCATTCAAGCCACAAAATGCAACCGCTTGACGTGAGCTTTATGTTCCCATTGAAGACATTTTACGCCCAAGCGATTGAAGAGTGGTTATACTCAAATCCTGGGAAGGTTGTAACAAACCTACGTGTTGGAAATTTATTTGGTGTTGCTTACAATAGGGCTGCAACAATGAAAAATTCCATTAATGGATTTAAAAAGACTGGATTATTTCCTTTAAATAAACAAGCGTTCAATGAAGAAGATTCTCACCTTCTCCAGTCATTCTCACAGGCTTGTCTTCATAAATAACCCATTAACACCAGTGTCCAATTCTGAAGTAGGCCTAGACACTGATGGTACCAACATGGATGGAGGTCAAATGAGGGCTGTCGCAGCATTAGTTTCACCTGAAGAAATTAACCCCTTACCAAGTTTGGAGGTTATTGATCCGTCAAAACCAAGTAGGGCCCGTAAAGCTGACATAATCACATCAACACCTTACAAAAATCAATTAGCTGAAATCATTGAAAAGAGAACTGCAAGTAGACCGACTGTGAAGACAAGAAAATGAAAAAGAAACCGAATCCAGGAAAGTTGTTAAGCGAGGAGGAACTCTCAAAGGTAAAGGAAAAGGGGTTATAACTGGAAAAGGAAAGCTACAACCTGAAGAACCTAATGCAAAACGAAGAAAACTGCCTTTCAATACCAAAAATGACAGTAGTTTGTCCAAATGTCCAATGTCCAAAAATGTCATACTTACATATGTATTTTTTTTTATATAGGTTTAAACATGTTTTTCGACAAGTAAGTCTTTGTTTCATTATCCTAAATATATATTGTAATAGTACCTGACTATGTTATATTTATTCCCTATTTTGATTAATAATTATATATAAAAATAAAAAGGGGTCTCATATTCGGCACAATGACCCTATGCTATTTGTTTAGATAAATTGAGAAACTATGAGGAAATGCTTTTATATTAGTACTAATTTTCATAATTTTTTTTAAATAGGACTATATGGTGCAAGAATATTTACATATTACTATACAAGGAAGAAACTAAGTGATACTTTTTTGTATCACAATAACAGTGCAAAGAACAAAAATCTAATTAAGTAAAACTAGTATTACTGGGTAAAAACTGAAAATTAAACGAAAATTATGACGCGTATAGAAAGAAGATATCATAAACATAGTAGAAATGGATTCTAATGGATCAAGAAGCAGTCTGCGTTAAATTAACCGAGGCAAGAACTACATTACTTATGGAAATACTATAAAATAATTTAAATTAACGTTAGTGCAGAAGAAAATGAGTTAATTTTGTTCATATAAGTAATGTTAAGTGAAATTAAGATAGGTAGGTGTTTGCTTTCCAATTAGTGATATTAAAATATAATTAAAACCGTTTCAAAGAAGCTTTCAAGTTAAACTTTAAATTAGATTAAGAAAACTATATTACGTAACGGTAAAAATAAAATATCATTATTTTAATTATAATTTAATCATAATGAATTGCACGAGAAATTGACAGAGCTTAATTAATTAACCTATGCTATCTTGCTGAATATTATTTTTTGACATTGACCTGTGCTATTACTTCAGTCGTCATAGACGAAAATACCACTGAGGCTCTACATTACACCAGCTAGCTGAATTTTTTCTGGGAATAATAATTTTGGGGCTACAAAAAAAAGTCAAAAAGTTTTCCGCTTCCTTTCAAAACTGATGTCTGAGGAAAACATGGAATACATTGATATATCAAAAATCTGTACGCCGTAGTATAAACATTTTTAAACAAAAAATGTAGCTTAGATAATTTGTAACAAAATCGTGTATTAGCACATTTGTGTATAATGAAACGTTCTCTCAGAAACAACGCTTGAAGCGACGGGTGATTTTGAATGTTAGATACGCGAGCGAAATCAATATTAAATAAAATTTGTATCAACTCGACGGTAAAAATTTGATATCTTTAGATCAGAGTATCCTATTGTTTGAACGATAAAGAGTGCAGTTTTGTACATAGTTTTAGTTTATGCCTTAAATAAATTCAGTTTTTATAAAGGTGTTAAATAACGTCGGTCTAGCGCACACAGGTGTTAAGTGACTTTTTTGGCAAAATGAGTTAAATACATTCCGAAATGAAGACTAGCAAGGAGTTTCATATGAACACTCGAGCTAACTGATAATTCTAATTTTAAATTAGCTAACGCCATCTAACGAAAGTGGTAAGTACTAATAAATTGTAGGAATCTAGCACAAAGGTTGGAAGAGCACTTATTACCTTTGTGTTTCTTGTGCAATAATTACAAATGAGTGAAGTGAACACATGCTTCTTTTGCGCTTTGAGGTTATTTGACAGTGATAGTTGTAAAGTTGTTATTTGATTTATGAAAAGTGGTATAAAATAATTGTAATTATAATTATGGCATCCAGAAGCGGTGAAGATACTACAACGGCGTTAGATGATGTAGGAAAAGAGCTTAAAGGTATAGTAAGGTGTCGACTGTAAAACCATCTTGTTTTACTTAAAAATAATTATTTATTTCAGTTGCCACAATAACTCCGGCATTGGAAAAAACTACTGAAGGAGTACCAGGTAATGTAGAAATTGATATAACAGAAACAATTATTCTAAATCAAGTACAGGAAACTGATGAAACAAATGAAAATTTGTGTGATGAAAACATTAATCACCAGATTCAAGAATTTGACTCATATAATGGTAGTGATCTTGATGAATATAATCTCTATGCTTCATCGGGAAGTTTTTATCATCCGTCAGAAGAAAGCACTGAATCTGAAAATGTTGATAAAAACAATCCAAAAGATCAGGAACCAAATGAAATACAAAAAAATCGTCGCCGCAGAAAAGCCAATAAAAAGGAATGGAAACGATTAATTGTAAAAGAGTTAAGAATTAGTGGTAAAAAATACATTAATCGCTCCGGAAAGGAAATTACAGAAAAAAGTCCTCGTCCATCAGATTGCTATAAGTGCAGGTTTAAATGTCAAAAACTATTTTCTGAAGAGCAAAGGGCACAACTGTGTGCAGATTACTACAGCTTAGCAGATTATACTAGACAAAAAACGCTGTTGAGTTCTTTAGTACAAATAGTGGATGTATCTAGAAGCAAACAAACTCCCATAACAAAAAATCGAAAAGAGTGAAGGTTATATTATTTAATAGATAATAATGGGCAAAGACATCGAGTCTGCTCAAGTTTTTTACAGCCACGTTTGCTATATCTCGTAAAGTTGTCGAGAAGTGTGTTGAAGGAATGATGAATAAGGGAATTTTTGTCGGCTATGATAAAAGAAAGAATAGCAAACCCCACAATGCAACTGCTGAGATACAACGGCAGCAAGTTAAGCATCATATTAACTCATTTCCAAGAATTGAGTCGCATTACTGCAGGCGTGATTCAACTAAAAACAATTTAAATGCAGATTTAAACATTTCCATCATGTACCGATTATATCATGACTTTTGTACTTCTGATAGTTTAAGTCCGGTCTCAAAGTTTTTGTACCAAAGTATTTTTTATGATTTTGAACCAGCTCTTGTCTTTTATCGTCCATAAAAGGATCAGTGTTAGGTGTGTAATGCATTCAAGCAGGCCAAGGAAAAAGATCCCTTAAGAGAAAAGTATGAAAAGCATAAAAAAGCCGAAAAACAGTCGATGGATATGAAAGAATACGATAAAAAAACGGCAGCAGCCACGTTGGGAAAAACATTTAGAGCAATAACATTCGATCTGGAAGCTATTCTACCCGTTCCGTTTGCTGGTGATTCTCAGATATATTACAAGAGCCATCTAAATGTTTACAATTTTACAATTTATGATGGATCTACTAGAGACGGTTATTGCTATGTCTGGGATGAAACTTATGGTAGCAAAGGTAGTTCTGAGATTGGGTCATGTCTGCTTAAATATCTACTAGACCTACCCAAAACTGTAAGCCACGTAGCTTCCTTTTCTGACACATGCGGAGGTCAAAACAGAATTTCTGATAAAAAGAAGGAAGACCTTGTTTATTTACTCAATAAAAAAATTATTCCCGAAGAATACAGAGATTTCATTAATAGTCTTCCATCGACATCGGATTCAACGCAGTTAGCAGTACACAAGGAGATAGACTAATCTTCAATACAAATATTTTTAAAGAGTTTGTTGTGTTTTGTTTGAGAATTTATAATATTTTAATATTAAAATGGTCTAAGTCTAATGTTTTCTTATTTCGTGAATTAAATTAACTAGTAACACATATGAGTTAAGTGAAACTTTTGTTTTGAAAATATGTTTTTTCTAAAGCAACTATGAGATTTATTTCAATTTTTTTAAATCGCATTATCAAACAATTGTGTATAGTTTACCAAAAACAAATAAATCGCTGAAAACAAAACTTATTTGACTTTATATGATGTTATAAACTTTGTTTTTGCAATTACTCGAATTAGCGATTTTTCACTTAGCACCTCTGTGCGCTAGACCAACGATAAATAAACGTTGCTCGATCTTTGCCATTTTTTATGATTCTCATTTCCATCAAAATTTATTACTTTCATTGATCGGTCCTTGTGTAATTTTCATTATTAGATAAAACTTGAGTTTTAAATCTATACCGTGAAATTTCGATTTTGAGTCTTGGAAATAAATGCGAGGCACTTGAAAAACGCTTCTTTTTGATTACACAGGTACGTTTTTTTAAATAACACAACTTCAGCTAGAAATTGTACTCAATACTAAGTTCATGGAGACCTTTACACGATATGTGCTCGTTTGTACTTCAGTTAAAATTGTAGCATTTTAAATCACCTTGTATGTATTGAAATCACCCGGTATGTGTTAAAGCACCGAAAAAGTATTTTCAATCTTTTTGCATCGCTGGAGTTGATATAAACACATTTTGAAGTTTGAGTTTAGAAAGATGGCCAGAAAACTTCGAGGAAAGGCTAAATATAAGAGGTGAGACAGGGCTCTACAAATCAGAAATCTAACTCGAGGACATTAACGATAAAAGAAAGAGAGAAAAACAATATCCCAACAGAGGTAGAAGTCATCCAAGCTTTACAGAAATTGAAAGAAAACAAAGCTCCTGGGCAGATAGCATTCCTTCAGAACTTGAAAAAAAACCTGGCATATGTACTTATATGTAGACTAATAGAATTGATCTGAAAGCAAATAAAGTTGCCAGGAGACTAGAATCTAGATACAATTGGACCTATTAACAAGAAAGGAGATTAAACAATATGTGATAACTACAGAGGAATAACCCTTTTAAACGTAACATACAAAATATTGGCATATATTCTTTACGAAAAAAGCAATAAAAGTAGTTATAGCACTGTACAAAGAAAAGAAAGTAGCTATTAAATGTGGAAAAAAAGCCTACATTTCATTTAAGACGACAAAAGGACTTCTACAAGGCTGTGCTACGTCCCCTACTCTGTTTAAAATATTCTTGGAAAAGACACTCAAACCATGGAGGAGAACGTGCGAAGGAATGGGCATACCACTAAGAGACGAATACCTATACACCTTAAGTTTTGCCGACGATCAAGTAGTCATCGCACAAGATGAAGAAGATCTCAGCTTTATGCTCAGAAAACTAGAAGAAGGATATAAAAACAACGGAACGGAAATAAACTTAGAGAAAACCAAATACCTAATAACAGAAAACAAGGATATGAGAAACCTAGAGATAGACGAGGGAAGACAAGTAAATGGAACAGATAAATTCAAGTATTTAGGAACCATAGTTTTAAACCAGGGAACAACAGAAGAAGATATAAACAACAGAATAAGACAAACAAGAAACTGTATAAGACAACTAAATTCAGTGCTGTGGGATAGGAACATTACGATAAAGACAAAAAAGGGAATATATAATACCCTGACAAGAAGTATCCTGACATATGGGTCCGAAAACTAGACAATAAACAAGAGAAATATAGGTAGAATAAAAGCAGTAGAAATGGAGTTCCCGAGGAGAAGCTGTAGACTTACAAAAAGAGACAGAATTGAAAACGCAGTGATTAAGCGGAGAATGGAAGTGCAATCAAACATAATCGACTATATAGAGGAGAAGAGACTATTCTGGTACGGCCACGTCAGAAGAGCGGACAGAGGACGCTGGATAAACAAAATTACAGAATGGAGCCCGATCGAAAGAAGAAAGAGAGGAAGACCCCGAAGGTCATTCAGAGACGAAATCGACGAGGCTATGGAGAAAAGAACCCTGCGAGATGGAGACTGGAATAACAGGGAAAATTGGAGTAAACTGTTGAGTGAAGGAAGACAGTGAAAACTGTGGAAATCCTTAGTAGTAGTAGTATTCTTTACGACCGATTATCGGGATATTGCGAAGACATAATAGGTAAATATCAGTGTGGGTTTCGTGAAGAAAGATGAACGACCGATCAAATATTCCTTCCAAATGCAAGCTCTGGAAAAAACATATGAGTATGGCATTGATACTCATCACCTGTTTGTTGATTTTAGACGTGGCTATAATAGTGTTGAAAGAAACACACTGTACAAGGCCATGATAGAATTCAGCATACTAGTATACTTGGTAAAATTGGTAAAACCCTGTCAAGAGTCGAGTGTAAAGTTAGAGTGCAGAACTGAGTTTCTAGAACGTTTCAGTCACAGATAGGATTTAGACAAGGAGACAGCCTATCATGCCTTCTATTTACGACGATAATAAATCACGTCAAGATTTTTACAGAAGCTCCAAACGTAAAAACAATATTTTCTGTCGAAAAGAAACAATACTAAAATGGCTTCCAATGGCTTTCAATGGAAGCCATTTTATTGTTGCTTCTTTTCGGAGGAAAGATTTTTTCTATGTTTTAGATCTTCTGCAAAAGTTGCTCTGATTAATCCTGTTAGGATGATATACGTATAAGCAAATATACAGGGGCACTATACGTGAAATCAAATCTTAACTGGCCTTCTTTTTCAAATATTACTGTCACACTGTCAAATATCATTTTTAAAAATGTAGTGCGGGCTATCTCGATTCTACATTTTATCTCTTGATCTGGATCTAGTTGTTCAGTAATATGGCAACCAAGATATTTAAAACTGGACACTCTTTGAATTATATGACCATCGACATATAATCGTGCATCTTGATGTGCTAAACGCCTAAACATCATGTGTTTTGTTTTTGAACAGTTTATGTTTAGGCCAAACTCTCTTCCCACTGTATCAATGGCATTTAAAAGGCATTGTAATCCATTCATGTCATCACTTAAAATAACTGTATCGTCTGCATATCTGATTGTATTTATCAGAATTCCATTAACTTTCACGCCCCATTCCAAATTATGCAGCGCTTCTTTAAATATTCTATCTGAATATAAATTAAATAACAGTGGGGATAGTATACAACCCTGTCTGACACCTCTTTGTATTTTACATATTTCTGTTGATTTTCCGTTTATGCAAGCTGTCGCTGTTTGACGCCAGTATAACTTTTCTATGAATCGTATGTCTTGACTATCAACTCCTTTATCTTTTAATATTGTAATTAATTTGTGATGCTGTACTCGATCAAAGGCCTTTTCATAGTCAATAAATACAGCAAAGACGTCTTTCCTTTGATCTCGACATTTCTGCAGTAATACATTTAGTGCAAAGAGGGCGTCCCGAGTTCCCAGTCCATTTCTGAAGCCAAATTGTGTTTCATCCTGATCTTCTTCACATTTATCTCTGATTTTACTGTGGATGATGCGTAGAAATATTTTCAAAGTGTGGCTCATAAGGCTTATCATTCTATAATCGCTACAGTTTTTCGGACGTTGTTTTTTTGGTAGTGTTATGAATTCGGACTTTAACCAATCTTCAGGGATATCACCAGTCGAATAAACATCATTGAAAAGTTTGACCAGTATTCCAATGTTCTCCTCATTTATAAGCTTTAACATCTCTGTCGGTATGTTATCAGGGCCAACGGCTTTCTTGTTCTTTGCTAACTTTATAGCATGCAGTATTTCTGATTTTAGTATTTCTGGTCCTTCACCTTCAACTAAAGTCTCCGGTTCTTCGGGTCTATCATCATTATACAGTTCACTTATATAATTACACCAGGTTGTTCGAATTTCATGTTCGTCTATTATCATTTTTCCCGACGAATCGGTTATAGTATGTGGAGTTTTCTTATGATAAAGACCAGCTACTTCTCTAACTTTTTTAAACATATTAAACGTATCATGTTTTTCATTCAACTTTTCTAATTCCTTGCATTTATCCTCCATCCATTTTTCTTTAGCCACCTTTATTTTTTGTTTAATTAGTTTCTGTTTTTCCTTATATTCTGTCTTGTTACCTTTCAGTTTCCTTCTCTGCTCCATTAATTCCAGGATTTCATCAGTCATCCATTGTTGTTTTTTGTGAATGTGTAACGTTGTTGAATATTTTTCTATTACTTTCAAGGTAAGATCTTTAAATGTGTTCCATATTTCTGTGTTGTTTTCATTTATTGATTTCTTTAGCTCATTGTTTAAGTCATTTTCTATTAACGTTTTGTTGGATATTGAGATATTTAATTTTGGTGTTTTGGGGCTTTCTTGGACTTTTTTGAGCTTCACTTTGATGTCAGTTATTACAGGTTATGGTCTGAACCGATATCTGCACCAGGATATGTCGTTACTCTGGTGACGCCATTCTTAAATCTCTTGTTTACCAGAATATAGTCTATCTGATTTCTAATCATATGTTAATCATATGTTAGAACCTACCTAAAGAAAAAACACTTTGATTTTAGGATACGATTACTCTTGATGGCATGCTAATATATCATTTAAACAAAGGAAATTTGCAATACTTGCTGTATAAAAATATACATATTTCCTAAATTTTGTTATAATGAGTCACAAAGCGAATATTTTTTACAATTAATGCTGTAGTATATCCCTAGGCATTTTCTATACAAATAAATTTACTAGTACCACACAATATATCACAAACTTGTCTAATTCTCATTCTAAACATTCTTTAATGTATAACATCGAATAAACATATATATTCAACAAATGCGTTGCTCAATTATAGAAAAATCATTGCTTAGCGTATGATATATAGAAATGTTTAAAAGGTATACATTCTCGTTTTTTGTTTTATCCATGTAAACA